CGCGCCCCGTCACCCAGCGCCGCACCGAGGCGCGCTGACGTCAGCGCCGGGGCGGACCAATAGGCGCCGCGGCGTCTCCACGCGGCCGCGCTGGCAACGGCCCTCGGCCAATAGGAGCGCGAGGGAGGCGAGGCCCCGCCCCCAGGCCAGCGCTAGCGCCCCCTGAGGGCGGCCGGGGGCTCCGCGCTGAGGGGACGCGAGGCGCCGCCGGCGCCGCGGGGTCGGTTCGCTCCGCGGGCGGCTCCTCGGCGGCGCTGCCGGGTTCCGCGGCCTCCCTCTGAGCGGGGACGCGGGGAGGCCGGCGGGGGTGAGGGTTAAAGCAGAGCCGGCCCCGGAGGAGAGGTCCCGGTGGCCTCACCCAGGGGCGGCCCGGGGTTTTGGGATCCTTCCCCAGCTCCRGGAATTCTCCACAGTCCTTGAAACTCATCCCAGCCCCTTCGTGCACAAGTGTGGAGGCCRTGGTGCCTTCAGAGCAAGCCTGCTCTAAACGGGGGGCTCTGGAAGGACCTGGAGTGAGGCCACGTTGCTCCAGGCCTCCCTAGGAGAGCTAGAGGCCACAATCCCACCTCCCATCCCTGCAGGAAAGGGATCATTCCTTGGCAGCAGAGCAGGGGCTGCAGCTTCCATTACCCAACCAGGGGCTACAGAGCAGGAGCATCTCCAAAGACCAGCTGGATGGACAGTGTTTGCGTCAGGAAGGGAAGAAAAAATGTGTATATATATCTATATGTACACACAAAGACATGTAACAAAACCATACTGAGACAATGGGAAGAACCATTGAGAACATCTGCTGTCACACATAAGAGATACCAGTGGCGATGGTCACGGATGGCACTTGGGATCGGATCACTCGCTGGCTCYAAAGCCAAAGTTACCTTCCCACTTTATTCCACCACCGGGTTTGAAACAGAACTTTGCACACACGGTATGATTTGGCAGTCTTTATATCCACAATACATAATAACCATGCACAAAAATCAAGTGATGTAAATATTTACAAAGTGAATTGCACTTAACAGGAACCAGGAGTAAATGAAAGGAACTTCCGGGTTGCATAAAGGTCCAGTGCTGTTTATAACCTACAAAGCCTGACAGACAACACTACTGCACGTTATCTGACCATTTTAGTAAGAATCACTGTTAATAACKGCATCAGTGCAGCCCTGGAGATGCTATTTGCTTTTTTTTTTTTTTCACGGAAACATTCTGATAATTACCATTCAAATGCAAGTATCTGCAGTATCACGATATTCAGAGCCTAAAAGACAGAAGAACCCAGCATCAGCCCTAGGACATTGCAGCTTAAAATATAATTAGTTTTCACCTCTAATTACCTGTCTTTCCTTATTCAGCAAATCCAGGCCCTTACCTTTAATACTGCCTTTTTTTTTTTTTTTTTCCCCCTTAATATTTTATGATGGAAAATAGCCTCCTTAAGTGCTCTAATCACTTCATTAGTATCTTCCTCTACACAGATCAGAAGCTCTAAGCAAACGGCACCTTTATGCTTGGAATGGAAACTTTGCACCAAGCACAGCTAAGAATCAACCGAACGCATCAACAGCTGCATCACGGCCACAATTGTTGGAACCGTCCAGCACGCAGAAAAGCAACATACTGAAGTCAAAACACCCGCTGTACATTTCTCCAGGCCCATCAAATTGCTTTTGGCGAGTGACCTGCTTAAATAAAAGGCACACACTAATAATCCTAAGCATCCAGCTGTGCCCASTGGAGAGAGCTCTCTCCTGCTAGCACACAAATCACAGCATTTCCACCTCCTCTGGGGTCATAAGAAGTGATCTAGCAGCCAAGCTGGGCATCTTAGGATGCAGCAGTTGTTCTGCTGCTGCAAACCTGGCCAAAGCACTGAGAAGCAGCCACGGTGACGTGGGAGAATAGCTCTTTTTCCTTCTACCAAGCRCTGATGGTGTCGAGGCACACAAGTCATTTTGATGAAGTATCGAGCAGACACTCATCCCTTGCAGTTTTATACTTGCGCAATCACAGGGCTTTAAAACTTTCCTATGATCCAAGTTTTCTTGCCCTGTGTAGCAAGATGAAAGCTCTAGAGCGATTCCTAACTTCTTCCTTAGCTCACCTAGGCACAGGAATAGTTTGAAAGGACCTAATTTAACTGGAAAACAAGTTAAACTGAGGCATTCTCCCCAGTGAGTGTACTCAACCAGATTATCTGTTTGTGTGCCCAGCAGCAATTCCCTTTTGTGTGTTAATTCTGGCCTCTCTTCTCCCCATAACTAACAGGTCAAACAGCAGAAAATACACCTATGTTCTACATTGGTGGATCTAATTTAAATATCAGCAGGGATCTTCAAGTAAGATTTACTATGCTACTGACACAGGAGAGTAAGCAACAGTTTTTAGTGTTACTTTTCCAAAGACAGAAAAATTATCCTAAGTATAGTGAAGTAAGTATAGAAGTGAAGTAAGTATAGCACATTTTTCTTGCACAAGCAGCTTTCTGGACATCATTTTGAGCTCAAGCCCCTTATTCCACACTGGGAAGMGGCAGAGCCCTTTTTTAAGTGTTCATGGCACATTTTGAGATATGGAGTCAGCTAATTTACAACCTCAAGCAGTCCAGGTRAAGTTACACTTAACTCAGTTGCTTCCACATCAGGACAGCCTGGTAAAGAGTGGGGCCTGTCAGAACTTCCCTGACTTTTAGACAGTCCACAGGATTCCTCCAAGCCTTCCCCTACCCAATTGCTGTAGCCACCAGCAGCAGTGGTTCTGGTTGGAGCTATAGCTTGTTAGGTGTACAGTGCTTCCAACAGGACACAATATTCAAAGATTAAAAGTGATTTTTCCCATTTGTGCAACAGGAATGTGTTTTTTACCCAAGAAAAAAAGCCATCAATGGGCCTTTTTTTGGCACGGTTATTGTTGTGCTTAGCCTAGGTGGTCATCTCAGACCCACAGGAGGAGGGCTGCCTCTCTACCTGCCAGGAGGGCAGCAAAGCAAGCTGAAAACGAGTCCATGTCTATGGCAGATGCAACCACCACTTAATGTACAGTGCTTGTGAACCCTCTGTGTGTATGCAYATGTACCCACAGGCTCCTCACATCCTAAGCAGACCAGTCCACGGCAAGATAAACAGCTCTGCAGGAGAAGACAGCAGTCCTTGCATGCCTAGCATGGACCAGTTCTCAGATATCCCTCAACTCTGAGGAATCCTTTCCACAAAGTCCAAAGATTAAAGAAATTTTCTGAACTGACGAGACTACTTCAGCTTCTTCTACCACATCAGATCAATCCTAGTCACTAGCAGAGAAGRCGGCAGCACAAAGTTCAGGTTAAGAAGAAGATTTTGCAGAGTAAATGCATTGAATCACATTGGATCAACAAGACTTAACTGCACAATTCTGCCTCACACTATCCCAACTCATTTTATCTAGAAAGGGTTTTGTTCAAAATAAAAGGGAGCCTGACTCCCTTAGTGACTACTTGTTCTTGAAGGAAATCTTCTCATTAACTCAGCATTTCCACTCTCTCTGATGCTGTACTCATCTGCCACCCTTCTAGGGTACTGACCACACATCACACCCTCGCCTAGGACCACCATAAAAAAAGCTTCCAGATCACATTTGCTGCACCTTCCCTTGATAGATGCTATCAAGGTATCAGGTGCTCAAAGTGCTTCCAAGCTGATGACTCCCTCAGGAGAGAACCCTGTGACGCCCAAAGAGGAACTCAGACTGTCCTTCAAAGGTATTAACTGCAAGGAGGCACTCCTTTACCTTGAGCCTATCCTCTAACCAACGCCGAACAATGGATGTGCTAAGCACTGCGTGTCCCCTTAGCTTTGAGCTAGAGCCCTCAAGGTGTATACAGAATGAAATTAAAGGCATTGGTCTGGAAAGCTTGTAAAAGAAAAGCCATCAGAGTTAACCGCCCTTACTTTTATTACATAACCAGACACAAAACAGTTGAGACTGGAATGTCAGATTTCCTCTTYAAGCACAATTTACAGTTTCATGTTTGCTTTGTATCAGAAAAGAAATTCAGCTCACCAACATGCAGGTAGTATTGATCGAGTGAGGCACAGTCTCAGAATTTGGGAAAATACAGAGCAAAAAATCACTGCCAATTGCTCCACTAGCCTTCAGAGAGCGGCAGATGGTCTCCAGTTCTTCCTTAAGAGAGTTTCACCCACTATTTGCCTGATCTCAACATTCAGTGTTTACTGGAGAGGTGCAAGAATGTAAAGAGCGAGTGACAAAAAGCAGTCAAAGAAGATTTTCACGAGCTAGCAAGAGAGTGACTACACAAAGCTGTGGTACATTCTTCCCATTCAGCAAAACAACGTATTGTAGCAGTTAGCCCTACTGACGACAAACCCGTTACATCAGGTGAAGTACAATCAATTGAAATTTACAGTTATTTGAAATTCAGTAAAACAGTAAGAGGGGAGCAGCAAGTTAGTAAGTAAAATCTTAATATGCATTTTAGTAGAGGTCAAGATTATGCACAAGATCAACAGTGAAAGATCGTGAAAAGAAAGTACAAGATGCTATGATTCTGCAGAAGGTTTACAAAATGTATAAAGTATCGTGTTTYTCTACAACAACCAAAACCCTTACAAGTGCAGGTATATACATGACATGAAAATATTGCTTCACTCAAACAGGAGGAGGACAGAGCTAGAGAAAAAGCATGCAAAAAAAAAAAAAAAAACCACCTCTGGAACTAGAGAAGATCCTGCTTTCAGACACTGATCTACAGTACAAAATGAGCCTACTTGTACAGGTTGCAGAAGGTTTTTGAAATCAATATGCTGGCATTTACTGTACAATAACATTAACCGATTAACATAAGCCGTGAATAAATATTAAGCCACTTCACAGAGCCTGCACAAGCAGTGCAGACAACTGTGGTGGCAGAGAAAGCAATGCAGACATACTTCATTGTTCCCAAATAAAACAAGAATAGATAAATATTTCCCAAGCAGGAAACAGTAAACTACACAGCCAGACTAACTGTATTAAGGGTAATTACATAATAAGCAATGTTATTTTCAACAGCTTTCTTATGTGTGTGCAACCGCTAAAAACCTCACTGTGAGACTTATCAGGACAGAGAACAGAGCATTTGGTAGGACAGCTATTTTCTTTTGATTTCTCCCCCATGTTTAGAAACATGAGAGAAAATCTGACTATGACAGGAAAAATACTTGTGACCTAATGTAGTTATTTCTTCAATTGTTATAATCAAGTCCCCATGGTTTCTCTCCCAGAAAAAAAAAAAAAAAGAAAAAAATAACACATTTGAGGAGAGTGCTTCATGGGATAATATCCAGCAGCAGAGGTTCCAACACAAACATGTCTATCAGATCAGTGCCTGTATTTCAAGCCCAAAAGTCATCACATTCAAGGGGATTTCAGAGGCAGGGGAATGTTAGCCCTAAAATTAAAGCTCTAAGATGAAAGGAGGGGCTTGGGGATGGGGGGAAAAGGAGGGAAGAGGGAGTCACTGAATCACAGGAGATAAAGAAGTGCACACAAGTTTCTAAATGAAGCACAGATGAAGTGAGGGGCACAAAAGTCATCTACAGGAGGTCACAGGTTCTGACAGCACTGGAGTTTGTTGGATTTCTGTCCGTCGGTGGTTGGTGGGACGCTGATGTCAACAACGTTGTTGCCAGGAGACTCATCGTGTGCAGATCGATCTGCAATCTGTTTCTGCGAAACAATGCGATAGATTTCTGAAACGAGAACAGACTCGTTAGAGCACAGACGGGCATTTTCTCCAATAGAGAAGGTGCAAATCTCCAAGCAAGCTGGCAAAGGAAATAGTAGAACCCAGAATGGAAGAGATTTCACGTAACTGGAGAGYTGTTAAAGAGAATCTGGTCTGACCAGCTGTGGAGCGTAACAGCTGGCCAGCTTAGCAGCTCTGTAATAGATATTCTTCCCCTTTCCTGCAAAMGTTATTACAAGATTCTTCACTGTCTTTCACAACAGCTCTTCCTATTAATGTTCTAGTCAACTAGCTATAGCCTCAGCTTTCATTAAAAGGTTTTATAACAAGAAAGAAGCAATGAGTTGACTCTCTAAAAGAGGAAATCAGATTTTGGATACAACAGAGCGCTAGGTGTTCTAGGAACATCAATCAACAGGATGCTTCCAAATTACGGAAAAGCAGGGCTGTGTGACGATAAGTATCTGTTTCACATTTTAGCTTCTGGAAAACTATTACTTATTCCTCTCTAATAAATCCTCTCCTCAATCTCTAATTCCTCTCTAATAAATCACCTTTCCCACTGATGCCAGTTAAAACAAAGCAAAACAACAAGAAAACCCACACAGCTCCAAACTGGTCCAAAACCCTTTCTAAGAGAATTCATTTCTTTGACCCATATTAAGTTAAAAGCCCAAAAGCCCAGAGATTCACAACACTAACTGCTGAAGAAAAATTGCTAGGTTAGAAGCTTTCAGAAATAAACCATTTCAGTTACATAGTTAGCAGAAATAATTCAAATTGAAATACTTTTAAATCACTTATTTCAGCAAGTATAAGCCTGTGTTCCAACTTCCTTCCATTGTGAGACAGGAAATGGGCAAGTACCTCCCTGGAAGTCTGCGGTAAATATTATGGTCACATTTACACACCCACAGCCTCAAAGCAGCAACAGCCAATTTCTTTTATCAAAGACTAAAAATCTGGTAACACGTCTATGGCAGGACATAGCAGAATAGCACGCAAAGCCTCTAAACAGAGATTTTACTCCAGTTGATTGGGTTTTGCTAGCATTGATTCAGCAGCAGTTCCACAAGCCCATGCTGCTTTCAGTCAAGCACATTTTGGGTGTTTTAGTGCTAAGGATTAGCTGAGCCACAGAGCTGCTCAAATGCAGAGAGTCAACTCACATTGGTGCCAAAACAATACACACATCCCCTGGAACACAGAGTACTTGAGCACGCAGTGCTGATACACTCCAGCACCTCATGCAAACTAAAATCTAACTAAAATTGGAGCAAAAATTGAGCAAACTGGAAAAGCTACCCAGCCCAGCTGAAGTGACTACACAGACATAGCAGTGCTCATCTTAAACACCACATTTGCCATGACTGCAGGACTCCCACTTTTGCTGCCTGTAGTCTGCTCATCTCCCTGATGGTATAGCTACACTTAAAGATTTCCAGGTGAATCCTAAGCTTTATCTGAAGTAGGGTGATCCCTTGCTCCAAAGTCAAGGAACTATGGGCAGGTAACAGTCAGCTCCAGGATGGAAAAACCAAGTCCTGGTAGGGAAGAGACCAGAAACAGGCAGTAGAACATTACTGCACAGATTACACCTAAATCTACAAGGCAGTTACTACATRAGCCTAACAGCATTCCCACATATCTGCATCGAGTCTGAAGCTGCAGCTGGACAACATACACTAGGCTGCCTCCACCTCTGCCCAAATGGTTCCAGGGAATGTTCTTGGCAGTGTGGCAATCACTCTCCCTGGCCTGGTTTTACCTTGTGACCATTATCACTTTCCCAAACAATTCCTGTCTCTGTTCAGGGACACTCCCAGCAGGCAGCCTGCCTTCAGCTATGTGTTGGTGCATAATCAAGCACAGTCCCTGCAATCAACTCAGAGCGAGAGTTCAATAGCCTGGACAAAAAGAACTGTGCTCCACTCTGCTTCAGTGCAGGGAAACACACTGGAATATTTAACTTCCTCCTATGAATAAGCTTTTGCTGCCTAGATTTTGTGGAGATACAAAACTACTTTGGATAGTGTTATTGCAATAGCTTGAATTTAAGGAGTATCAGAAAACTAGAATGTCTTCAGATTTGGGGCCACAGAGGTGGGACACTGAGGTAAGAAAACAGACTGAGAGAAGGCGAAGACAAAGGTAAGACCAGCAGACTTTCAGACAAGCCAATATTCCTTTCCATTAACTGTTTTAATGCCTAAATAGTGTCCAAGAAGGAGGTTTAGTACCTCAGTGCATCACTTCTATCCATAACAAACCATACCTGTAAGGATGTTCTTGAAGGCTTCTTCTACATTTGTTGAATCCAGAGCAGAAGTTTCAATAAAAGATAAGTTATTCTTTTCTGTAATAAATAACAAGTGGTTTAGTTAAGAACTTCAATAGCTTTTACTTTTAGGTTTTCATCTTTATTTTTAAGCAAAAGCAGCTAGTGTCTGGTCTCAGTAGAACCTGGCCTCGACAAAGGAAACACACTTTATGTTCCAATGTTCTATACTGAGATTGGATTGAATAAACTCAGAAGCAAGGGGAATCTTAAATCCTCTCCACAGCCAGTTCAGTTCATTTGAAGCAAAATAGTTATTTTCAAAATTTACAGTGCACATCAAAATCCCTTTGAATTTATTTTTCCAAGAACACTTTCTCCTCTAAATGTTGCTTACTCCTTCCAGCCCAGCTAGAGGAAATGCTTACGCTCCAGCTATCAGGCAGCTCAAGGACAGTGTTTCAAAAACATGTACTACAAATAGATTTAAAATAAAAATTCACAAGCCAAGGTATTCTCCATTAAAAAAAAAAAAAAGGAATGTTAAATTCTTTTATTAGGGCCAAGGTAAAACTTAAGGTGAAAGTTCAGCCCTGGATGTGATCAGATCAAGTTCAGAAAGCACCAGCTCTCTACAAACCTGCAAAAGCCCGGGCCTCGTCAGTGGGGACAGCTCTCAGATGGCGAAGATCACTCTTGTTGCCCACCAGCATTATGACAATGTTGTTGTCTGCGTGGTCTCTAAGCTCCTTTAACCAACGCTCCACGTTCTCATAGGTGAGGTGCTTGGCAATGTCATAGACGAGGAGGGCCCCCACAGCCCCACGGTAATATCTAAAAATATGAGGTACAGTTTTTACAGAGAACTCTGTCCCAAAGTTATGCCAGATGCAACACCTGGTTCTTCTACACTGTTTACTACTATAAAGTTAAAAACAGTACCCTCTGGCCCTTTGGAAAAAAAAGATGTGCTCGTGCAAATACTGCCTTTTCTTCTTCTTCTTCTTCTTCTTCTTCTCTTTTCTCAAACAGTTCTTTAAAAACCACAGCTACCAAATTGGTGGCTTTTTTCCCCTCACAGCATCTCCAGAGAACACAATTTTATTTAACAAAATGCTAAATACCATGGAAGCTGTGACTCTTCTAGTCTCCTAAAAAGAAATGCACACAACCAAAGGTCATATCTTCAAAGACTACCTGGATTAACAGGCTGCTGTGTTCGAAAGCTTCTCAGCACCAGTGTCCTAAGCAGGGACACGTCCAGTGCTGCAGATTCAGCATTTTCACAGCTGTCATCCATTTTACTAGATGTATGGTGTGTTCTTGGCTATAATTTCCAGCACTATGATTAACTCAATCTTTTTTCATTGCATTAATCAAATGGCACAAAGTTATTTGCTCTGTTATGATATCGATCAACACTGAAGTCTCCCCTAGCAATTTYGTCATGCATCCCAATTGAGTTCAACTGATTCTCTACCTGTGAATTTATCTATAGGATCTTCACTAAAGTTCTCCTATTAGTCTGAGAAAAAAAAAAAATATATATATATATATATACCCCAAACCCACAGTACTCACGCTGAGGTAATGGCCCGGTATCGTTCCTGTCCTGCGGTATCCCAGATCTGYGCTTTTATCGTCTTCCCATCTACCTGGATGCTCCTGGTGGCAAACTCCACCCCAATGGTGCTCTTACTTTCCAGATTGAACTCATTGCGTGTGAAGCGCGACAGAAGATTACTCTTGCCAACACCAGAGTCTCCAATCAGAACAACTGGAAGAAGACACATTATTTTCAAAATTAATTCTTCACCTGAGAATTTGTATGGAGCACTGGTGCTTCCTGGCTGTCATATTTGCTTGYGGGGAGGACCCTGAGGAGCAGCACAGGCAGATAAATAAGAGGAAATTATGCTGACAAAATCTCAGATTTTACTACTCCAACATGTGTTTCCSCCCAAAGAGCTCCCAAACCTTTAGTTACTTAGTTCCTTAGTTCCTCAAGGATGGAAATGAGGAATAGCTACAGCAACAGTCAACAGCTAAACACTGCTGGGGGAATCCAGGCCATCCCCAGCACCCAAAGGGAGCTACGCATCTTCCTGCATCCTCAACACATCACAGAGCCTCCAAAAACTTACCAACAGGTGACCTACCTGTGCAATAAGAGCCTGCACACACTGCAAACTTGTCCCCTTTCCGCTGAGAACCTCAATAACAGCAACTTGCATTYCCAATGGGGTCACACCACATGATTTATTTGCTATTTTAATTAATAAGCTTGTTCACACAAAGGCCAGGCCAGCACATGAGACCGCCCGACTCCACAGCCAAGACACGAAACAACAACAAAAAAGGGGATTTTTTTCACCCAGCAAAACAAGCTCTAGCAGGTGCGATGAGGAGCAAAGGATGAGTTAAAAGTCTGCCTCCACACTAGGCGTTGCCATGTTAACAGAGAAAAACAGGAGCGCAGAACAGACCTTCAGCTCACAGACCCCGCTTTGCCGAGGAGGACGGTGGAAGCAGAAGGATGGCCGCGCAGCCAAAGCCGCCCACGTGCGGCACTGACCCCCATCCCGGCAACAACTGCAAGGACCAGACTTGCCAGACTACGTTCTTTACTACACAGTGAAAAAACTACACGTTTCCTTAAATCCTTACATCACTGAGCTGAGCAAGCAATAATTAAATGGGAACAAGTCTAGAAGSAATTAAGCCAAATTCCTTTTGTCTCGGGGAATAATCCACAACTGCAGGTATTGCAGGTATTTGAACTAACAGCATCCCAGCTTGAGCAAAAGGGAAAAAAAAGGCATTTGTAGAGATGTTTCTTTAACCTTGGGCATATTTTCTATTCCTGTTCAAAATACTCATTCGCTGATATCTCTCCGATACGACCTGCTTTTCCTCTATAAAAGCAGGGATGGGCACACAGCAAATGGCATCCTCRTCTCTCCAAAGCAAATTAGAGAATGTTCTTCTGATTACACACTTCCAGAATGAGCTCTCCCCGGGCTGCAGATCATGCCAATCACCTCATATTATCGAGGCCGTTTTACACTTGGGCCCTAGTTCACAACACCGCTTTGGCAGCCACAGCTCCTGTCCCTCCCCAGCCCATTCCCACATTTCCAGCTCCAGAGCTGCTCAGAGCATTTCAGCAGCCTCCCTGAACTCACCCACCGGCATTTCCTGCGGCTGACAGCACAGATAGACCAACAATTGTGCTAGTACAGCTGAAACAGCTGAAATACAAGGGAGACAGGAGCAGGCAGCCAGGGGATGTGGCAAAGTGCCACAACCCCCCACCCGGGAGAGCTTAAATCAGCTCCTCACAGGGCTCCAGCTTTGCTGGCGAAGAGCCTAAACAATGTTTTAGGGCATGAGAACAGATATAGGCGAGGAAGAAAAAAAATATAAAATGGTTGTAATGCTAAAATGTTGTTTTTCTCCCCACTTCCTCCAGAAGGGCAGTATTTCATCCCTATCATCACTAATTCCACGGGGTGGTCCAGCAACAGATGAAGGGTCATCCACTTTGTACAGAAAGCAGCAGGCTGCACTTCACAACAGGCCTCTGCCCCTAACTAAAACAAGATAAGAATATTTCTTACACAAGCTGGAYGTAAAAACCTCTAAGCTTACAGCTGTTTCCAAAAGGAGTCACCTGCTAATGAAGCTGTGGCTCAAGAAGCAAAGCTCTCTCTTCAGATCATACAAATCTTCTAACCTTTGACATTTTAAAGTTATTAATTTCATGCATAAACAATGCGAGTGACTCCTGGGTCATTAACTCYATGTGCTGCAGAAAGAAAATTCAGAGGGTCTTGCACTGCCTTCCTACTTGCCTCTGTTGTAAGGCTACAAATGCAACAGTGCTTCTAAGAAARAGCTTTGGAGAAGTTAGTGAATGCACAATCAGATTCAAATTAAGAAACAAAAAATAAAGGTTTATCCTATGCTATAATCTTCAAGTGCTTCTTCATTTCTCAACCTTGAGAAATTTCAAGAATTAATGTCCTCTCTCAGGACAGAAGAATATAAAAAGACCTGGGGCCAGGAGGCCTTTATTTTCTATGGGAATTCAGCATGCAGACAGCAATAATATTTTGGACCAAAGTGATYAGATCTTGGGAAAGCTCTGAAGTTTGGAAGTAGGCAACTAGACTGTGCCGACTGTTTACTTGCAGAATTACTGACAGAGTTACAAAGAAAACCACAAATCAAAYGTAAGAAGATGAAGAGCTGAAATAATACTCCTTAAATGTCCTTTATGCCCACACTGACAACACAAAGATGCCCTGCCTTTTAACCTGGAAATTACTTGAGCCTGATTTACGAGCACAAAGCATCATCAGATGTCTCCAAGTCTGGTTTACACCCTAAATTGCTACTCCTCGCATCTTTCTTGGCTTTGATGACCCCTTTGCTACTCCACTCCAGTTGGCTGCTTATCATTCCCCACATGACCTGTCCTTCCACTGAAAGCCATTAAGGATGCCACTTGATTAACATCACCAAGTTATCAGTGTGGCACTTGGTTAGTGAGAACCAGACCTACAGCTGAGCAGAGCAGATCCCACTACCTGCACAACCTGCTTCATACTTCGGATTCTGGTACAAAGTAAAACAAAGAATTAAAATCAAGTGCAATAAAYTGTTGAGTAAAGAAAAATTATAGCATCAAGTTTATTGCATAATTTTCAACACACAGTTTATTCACTAATAAAGTTTTTGAAGAATCAGTAGGACTGAAACTTTTCTGCAAAGACCACATCAGTGAAGATCACTATATATACTAATCACTTAAGGTTGCCAGTTATTGATGAATAATATAACATAAATTTGCATTTATTAGCCACCTCCTTTGTTAGGCTCAGGTTTTAGTTAGAGCAACCTAAATGTCCATAAAGGTAAAAGGAAGAGTTTTTTCTGTGCTCTTCCCTCCCTTTTCATGAGCCAGTACATCTGCACATTCCGAAATTTAATTTTCAAAATAAACATCTATAATGGCTAATCTTCTTCAGAAGAAAATTAATGTGGAGATCACATTTGAATAAGTACAAGACAGCAAATAATTTTTAAAATATTAAAAGGTCATACATTCAGTTCCAGAGGCAACCCATCCAAAACACAGTTAAAAGTTCCTGCTTTTTAACCTTACAAACTGCAGAAGTAACAGGCAGATACCTAAACCGCTGGATTTGCTTGGGTGACATTTCCAAAATGCTGTCCCAATCCTCACGATTTAACTCTTCTGAGCAGCATGGCATATAGAACCCAGCTTGTCCTCTCAAAGGTTGGCTCAGGCATTTTGCTAACAACCAGCAGTTTGTTTTGGTCAATAAAATAAGCAGTTCTGACTACAGGGGTGCATCCGTAAGACAGGGAAACGGGTAACAAGGATAAAGAGGAGCTAATTTATGAGAACAGCTTGACTATAACCACACTCACATCCCCAGAATACCACTGAACCTTAAATTAGTTTTAGCCTGCTACTTGCAAAACCTGATAAGCCAACAATTTACACATTTTTCATACAGCCCCACTAAAACGGTCATTCCTATGAACACAGCACGAGGGATGACACAAACAATCATTCTTTGGCGTGAACGCTAAGAAGAGTGAGCCACCTGTAAGTATAAACTGTTGCTGCAGAAGCCTCAGCCATTTTCACCCCAAACAGTTTTTTGAAAATATCATTCTGCATTAAAGAAGCTAACAACAATAGGGGCTCTTTGACTTTTTAARAGAAAACGCTCATGAAGTTGATTGAATCATCACTTTTAAAGAAAAAACGTCACAGAAGCAAATCGAAGCCCAACAACATTTCCCTTGGGAAAGGGTGGGTAGGGGAAACAGTCAAAACTTAAAGTCAACTTCAGATATAAGAAAATGAAAATAATCCTCCCTGGAATGCAGCCCTCCTCCGCCATTATTTCTAAATCTGCAGAAAAGAGTTCAAAAGCCAAATATTTCCATAGCCAAGAGGGGGCTGCAGTTACTCCAACCTCTCTACCATTACCTTTTTCATTATGTTAATTCCCCTTGATATTTAACTCCATTATTGAAGGGAGAGGAAGGGGACTTAGTCATATTCATTTTTCTTCTTACAACACAGATGTGATCCCACTTGATCCAGCTTATATTCATTATTCCTTGTCTGGTCTCCGAAAGGCCGGAAGGAAGGAAAGATGACCAGATAAGACAGGGKTTTTTTTTTTCCTGTTTTGTTTTTATACAAAGACAAGCATCCCTACCCAAAAGGCACACAGAAAAAGGACCRTCCTCTGCTTTTTTTTCCATTAAATACAGTAAGAGAAAGCACGCCAAGTTCCTTTGCAGCATCCATACAAGAGCACGATCCCTGCCCAAGCAGTTTTAAGTCAACTTTCACTCTCGATAAAAACAAAATTGTATCTCAAGGCAGGTAAATATTTTTAAAGGTGAGTGTGGCTTTGCCCACCTAATTATTTGCACAAAGAAAAAGTAAGAAACAAATTTGGGGATGTTCAAGTTCCCCAGTTATGATACCATGTTCCGYGACATTCCAATTGGGAAATAGATGGTGGAATGCAGACCCAGCCAGCTCAGGCTGGACCCTCTGCTTCAGAGGTAGAGCAGAAATAAAGATCGATAGGGTTTTTTTGGTTTTGTTTTCCTGCATCATCTGGAAGACTGCAAAATAGATGCCCCAGACATGCAGAGACACCCAGAATGATTATGGAAAATAATAATCAAAGATATTAGGATGAGTTGGGCAATAAGCTTGGTCCAAAAGCTACCTGCCTTCTGCCTACAGGCCAAGGCTCAGGCGAGGGAGGGCTCTGGGGAACAGATCAACCCTGGCACCTTCGTGAGCGCAGGGAACATCAACCTCCCCGTGCCAAGAGGAGCACCCGAGCCGTGTCACCCTCCCAAAGGGAAGGCGGAGGGAGCAAAGGGGACACCAGGCTGGTGCCCTCAGTGCCGGCACTGTCAGGCAGCTCTTACACTGTCAGGTTGCTCTTGGGCAACCAGGAGCTCCACAAGCACCAGGCCAGGCAGATTACAGAAACTCCAGGTAAGCCAAAATTAGCACCTTCCACACCAAGCTTGGGGCTTTTTATGCTTTTTTTTTTTTTTTTTAAGCTATTAACTGCCTGTCAGTAACTTCTGAGCAAGCCCTGAGTTTGCCCTGCCCCTCGCTCGAGCCCAGGGCTCCCCCCGGGGCGGGAACGCGGCGCCGCTTCCCCGCGCTCCCCCACGGGAAACGGCTCCGTTCCGCGCACCGAGAGCGGCGCGGAAGCCCCGAGGGCGGCGGACCGGCCCCGTGCACCGCCCGCCGTCCCCGGGGCCCCGCCGCCCCCTCGGAGATGGGGCCGTGAGGCCGCCCGCGCACAATGGCGGCGCCCCCCCATCACCTCAAACGGGCCGGGCCGCGGGAGCAGCGCGGCCTGGTGAGGCCGGGCCGGGCCCGAGAGGCGGCGCGGGGCCTCAAGGGGCGCGGAGGGCGGCGGGCGCGGCCCCGGGCGCGGCGGGCGGCGGTACCTTTGAAGAGATAGTCGTACTCGTCGTCGCGGGTGCCCATGGCGATGGCGGCGGCRGCAACGCCGATCCTCTCGCTGCCAGGCACCGAGCCGCGGCCCTGCCAGACGGGGGAGGGGTGGGGCTGCGCCCGCCGCCACCTATCAGCGCCAGCCAGAGGCCGCAGGAGGCAAGTCTAACCAATAGGCGATGGGTGCGCCTCTGACTGGCGGCAGCAGTGTCCAATCGCGTGAAGGCAGTGGGGGAGGACGGTGCTTGGCTACCCGAGGCCGGGACCCAGCAGGGTGGGGCGAGGACGGGCGAAAGGGCGTGGTCTGTGATGAATGGGCGTGGTTTGTGCCGAGGGGCGGGGCTTGCGTGGGAGGGGGCGTGGTCTGCGGCTGGAGGGGGTGGGGGGCTCGACGGCTTCCTCGCGCCGTCTTTTTTTCCAGCCTTCTCGTTTTCAGGGTTTTCTCGACCCAAAACCACCCCCCCAGCGCGGCTGGGCGCCCTCGCACCCTTCCCGCTGCGGCTTTACCCTTTTCCCGGCGATGGGGACAGTGTTCAGCACAGCCAGGTCCTCCTGCAGCCTCCAGCGCTTCCACACATACCTGGCAGAAACAACGATCCTGCGCGGTGACTTGTGAACAACTTGTTCTTGGAAAACATTTCACCTTTTTTTGTTCTCTTTTTTTTTCCTGGCATTCCTGAAGACAGTTTCCTAAGTGGCATATGTGATAACTGTGAATGTGTTTCTGCTCTCTGAGCCGTTGTGTTTGCAGCGGCTCCGCTGTCCCGCTCTTCACAGAGGAATCTTCACCTGGYACCTGAGCTCCTTGCTCACTGCGGTGTTAGTTCCTAGGGGTCCTGGTTCCCCCTCTCCATGCAAATGCTAAGGAATGCAGGCCAGCRGGCGAGCAGCCAGCAGTGCATGCTCTGCAGGAACATTGCTGGGGGAAGGTTGGTTTAGCAGGAAAAGCAAAAYGAACCAAATTATCACGTTATTTGGCTCGAATCAAAATGATCCCCTTCCCTTCCAACTCTGGGGAGCAGATTAAAAGCAGATATCGTTTATCCTGTACCGCTGCAACAGGCAGAAAACCCATGGGAAGCGGGGCTGGCGCAAAGCAGCCCTTGGAGAAGCCAGATGGGCAATGGGAACTCGCAGCAGGCCCCTATTTCCTAGGGCCCAGAGCAGCTTTGCGAAGCGCTCCAGTCGTGTCTTGCTCAGGCTGAGCGAATCCTGGCAGCCTTTTGGCAGCTGCGGCAGAAACACGATGTTAGGAATTGCTGCGGGGCCCCAGGATCACATAACGTGTCCCAACCTGTGCAGGAGCCCTGGCCTGGATGCAGCAGCAGCATTTCATAACCAGGGGGTTATTACTTGTACGGGTGTTTTCTGCAGCATTGGGTGCTGCTGCTTTTTCCATCGCTGGAGGGAGCACTGAGCTCTATTTCAAGTGTTTGTTAATGAGTGAGCTAGAGGATCCAAGCAGTGTTTCAGGTGGGGAAGAAGGCCCTGCACTTTTTCCTTCTGCCCGTGGACCAGCTACAGAAGCTGGTGAAGCTGCTTGCACCCTGGAAGGGCTCCCAGACTCAACACAGACCTGTAGGAGCCACGCTGGAGGTGTCTTGGGGCATCATCATTTACAGGTCTTGTAGGACTGTACAGCCCAGTCAGCCAAGCACAAGAGAGGGGAGAAAGCAGCAGCTCTGCGTCTTGGGCTAACCAAGAACACGGGCATTTGGGTAGCCCCCAACCTTGCCCAAACCACTGTTTTGTAACAGGCTCCACTGCAGGTAGCTGTTGGGGGCAGAGGGTGCTTCCCCATGCCTCTATCCAAAGAAGCCAAAATAATTTAAAGCCCTGAGGCTACAGCAAAAAAATCTGCACAGAAGGAAATATTGTGCCCAGATCCAAGCCAAGTTTCTGAAGCCAGAGTCTTTGCATCACTCCCATGCAATTTCCCTGCTAAAACATCAGGCAAATAACCCAGCCAGGACATTTACAGGCTTCTTTTTATTAAAAGGCATCTTCAGAAATATATTTCAGTACAAAAAAAAAGTTTAAAATACACAAACTACAATTTTTTTTTTCCAGAGCCAACATTTATAAATTACACCACATTGTTATTAACACTGCATTTAAATACATAGAAACAAAACAGGAAATTCAAAAAGATCCAACGTCCTACAAATGACTATTTACAATATTTAGCAGCTAGGAGCTCTAGCACAGTAGTCAATATGACTTCAATAGGGCAGGATGCTTGGGAATCCCCAAGATGGAAACTTGGCCTGTAATAGTTTCTAGGGATCTGTTTTGCTCACATCTCCCCAGAGAACTTCTTGCACACCCTTCAAAGGTAAAAGCTACACTGTATTTTGGAATATGCACATGACAAGTCTGTGGTCCTCTTGCAGAGAAACCTCACTGTACCATGGCCCTTTGAAAGGAATTAATTTCAGGTCACACCACAGGGATGGTGCTACCTGCTCTGCAAAGGATGGAGTTGTCAAAGAGCTCCAGGCTTCAAGGGGATACGTGGCTGCAGCCAGCTCTGATCAGGCTGAAATACAAGGCTGGTCTTGACCAGGGACAACGCTGTTCTGTCCCTGGCTGTCCTAGAGCTCACTCTGGCCATGTTCAGCCGCAATGATGGGCTCCAGGCAGAGCTCGAGAGGCAGACTGCAACAAGAAGCTCTCCAGCATCTCCTCCAGCCCCTGTGTATTCAGCTCTGGGATCTCAGCCATCTTTTCCTGGAGCAGAACGCATTTCCCCTGCTCCTGGCAAGTTCCAGCAGAGCCAGAAACACACGGCTTTGAAGCCTTAGAGGGCAAGGAAGCCAAATGAGCCTCAGGTCCCCAAATGTCTTTCCCACCAAAGCTCATTCTCACTGGGTTTAAAAAAAAAAATCACTGGAGTGGAGGTTAGGAAGCAAATGCTAAATGGAGGTGTCAGATCCTCACTTCCTCCACAGCGGTGGCAGGAGGAAGGAGGGCCTGGGGAYGTTCACAGGAGAGTGCATACAGCTTCATTGGGGAGCCACAGTGAGAGGGGTGATGCCAAAGCCCAACTGTACCCAACCRTTCCGACCAGGGCAGCAAAGCACTTCTCCGGCCTCCCTCTCTCCTGGACTCAGCACTCAGCWAAGCTGATTAAAACCAGCATGGAAGCGTGCAGACAGGACAAAAGCACCAGATGCCTTTAACTCACTGCAGTGGCACAAAGCAGGTTTGAAGATCACATCTGCATGCTCTGGGGATGGGTCTCCCTGCCAGCARGTCCTCTTCTGGTTCGGGAGCTTTCATCCACGAGGCTCTGCAACACTAATCTGTTCTACTTACAGTGAGAAGCTGATCACTGCATCGTGCCTGGCCACAGTCACTGTCCACTAAAGGGCTACGAGCAAGAGAAATGGTCCTCTGTGGACTTCCTGGGGAGGGTGGGGTTGTTTTCTGTAAACACCAAGTGATGGAGCTCTCATATCTGCACTCCACGGAGAAGGTCAAGTCAGAAATGGCAGCTTTAGGGTTCTACTTCCAAGTCTACGGGTTGGATTTTCATGGTGGTTGACTTCAGAGGGTAGTACCTCCCTTTCCATGTCTTCCAGAAGATGCCTTGTTTGCGCTCATGCCTCTGACGGGGAATGGAGCGGAAGTATTTCCCATTGAGGTTGGCATGGCCACAAGTGCTGAACCACCAGCCACCTATCAAAGCAATGAAGAAGCAGGTTTAATCCACAGTATTTTCAAACAGAGGAGAAAGCCAGGTTTAACGTAACTGCTGCCCACATTCTCCCCACACTGCAGTGCTTTGTGAAGCTAAAAAGTGCACATTTGGGAAGTTCCATGTACCAGAAACCTTCGGACAGGCTTTGTACAAGTTCAGGCCTAGACTGAGCCCTGTCTGCATGCTTCTGCTGCTCCTTTGCTTGCACGCAAGCACTAACTAATCCCTTCAGCAGCCCCATCCCAGTTCTTTGGGCTGGCCTCCACTTTGCTTGGAAGGTTTCCAAGCAAGGTGGCAGCCAGCAGAGCTGTTATGCAGACAGATGCTTGGGCCAGGACCTGAACCGCAAACTTCCCTTGGTTTCAGCTCCTTTCCAGCTCCCTGCACAGCTCCTCCCAACAATTCTTCCCACAGGCTTTCCAGGGAAGCAAGAAACAAGTCGGGCTCAAACCCTAAGTGGTCAAGTGTAGCAGAGCCCTTGCCCCAGCCCACTCAAAACCCCCRTCCTTCTGCTGCAGGCTCTGCCCCTGCGTTACCAGCAGCCCTGAACAGCAAGGGCAGAGGGGAAGCACAAGTGCTCTGCTCAGGAAGGAAGAGATATTACAGACCTGACAGGTGCTTGGCACAGTTTGTGTCAGCCTTGAGATCATGGTCACGATCCCGGGTGGAGAAGGGCAGCTGCCTGAAGTCCCCAATGGCATTTTCCAGTTCTCCAGAGAGAGGTCCCAGCAGGTTGAGTGTGTAGGCTGTGCTCTCGCCACCAAGGCTGAAGACAAACTGGACTGCCTGGGAATTCCCCTCCCAGTCTTCCAGCTCAATCAAGAGATTGTATCTTCCCTCTTGGACAAGGTCATGTATTTTCTCCAGGCCCAGCCAGAAGTCACCTGGAAAACAAGGCAGTTTGCATTGGTTGCAGGCACACAGACATGTTGTGTCAAGCTAATGGAGCAGCAGGCTGCTGCAGGATAGTCAGGACTGGGACCTGGCAAGGACACTTGGTTTGTGTCCTCCTCCTCATCCCAACATTGTGGGTAGAGATCTCCAGGGGCCAGCAAGAGGGAACATCTTGTGCTGCGTTAAGATATCACTTATACCACTTGTCCCACGATAAGACAACAGGTGCTACCTACCATGAAGGTCTCCAAAGCCATTCTTGTAGGCGTCCCAAAGTTGGTCAAAGTCCACAGAGCCMTCTTTACGCCTCTGGATCACTGTCCAGCCACCTTCTGTGGGAAGAAAGAATTTGGTCAATTCAGGGCTACCACGTGCAAGACCACTGTGTAAAATCCGTACRAACACAGAGGCTCTCCCCACTTTACCTGCTGTCATGTCACAGTAGACTTTGAAGGGCTGAGAACCAGCGGGCTGGACYTGGAAGATGCCGCTGCTTTGCTGCCCTTCCAGGAGGAGCTGCTGGCAGCTCTCTGGAAGCTCTGTGGAAAGAAAGCAGAGGCAGGTGAGCTGAGTGCTACAGGTCTCGCTTCCTCAAGAGTTTTCTCCAAGCACAGTCCTAGCCCTTCTGATTCCAGATCTATGCCTTGGCCATTACAGTGGGTACATCACAACAGTGCAGTTAAAATGCTAGTTCCTCAGCATCTTCCAGTTCTAAATACAGCTCCTTAGGTTCCAGTTCAAAGCTGGACACTAAGCCAGGATTTGGCGACCCAGGATGAGCTTGGGAGAGCACAAGCCTGGAGCTTGGGAGAGCCCCAAGAAGGCCCCATGCTCTGGCAGCCCGGCACAAGGAGAGAAGCCTCCCTGTCCCAGCWCGGACATCAGAGCAGGCTCTGCGGGCAGAAAGAAACCACAAGGACGTTCCAAAGGCGGGAATGCCGGACAGCAGTTCAGCACGTGGCTCCAACTCCTGGCCCAAGGCGGGCATCCCTCAAGACCTCCCACACGCCAAGCAACCTGCTGCTCTCCTCGCCAGTCGACCCCAGGGCTGGAACCGCACCAAGCCAGCGGATCCCAGGGGATCTGCAGCTCATGGCGGGAACAGGCTGATGCCGATGGCTCCCGTCCCCTTCCCTGGGGCTGGCCTCCCACCTCTCCTTTCCTCCCACCCGGGACTTTGCCCCGTGCTGCCAGCGAAGCACCCTCTCCTTGGCGCTGTTAAAAGTCCACCCAGGAGGGCCTGGAGAGGCCGGTTACAAAACACATGGCGGCCAGCAGGGACTTCAGCGTGCCGAGGCCACCGTCAAGCGGCTCTTTGTCCGCAGGGGACAGGTGCCCTGGGCCCAGACAAGGCTGGGCCTGTTCCCTCCATGTCCCCAGCAGAGCTGCTCCTCACGTGAGGCCCGGGAAGGATTTGGGCTCCTCACAGCTGCCCGACRGGGCTGGGGGATAGAGATGAAACTGAAGTCACTCCTATGGAAGGGGGATGCAAAGGGGGCCAGGTCACCCTGCTCAGTGTCTCCCCCAGAGCAGCCACCACCACCCTGGTCGCTGTGGCAAGGAGGAGGCCAAGGCAGAAGGCTTCTATGGTGACAGGATGGGGGCAAGCAGCACCCACCTGCCACCATCTCCTCATGCCAGAGGAAGGCCATGGTGTCCTCACAGGGAGGGTGACAGGCCCAGCCACCACGTGGGGACAGGTGGGGGAGGAGAAGAGGGGATGACAACATCCCCTTTCACCCATTTCCCTCCTGGCCCTTCAGRGCCGCCGGCCGGGGCCTCCTTGTCCCCCCGGCATGAACTTTCCTCCACTTGGCTGCAGCCGCTGCCACCGCTTGCACCCACCAGCATGGCCACACAGAGCCAGCCTGCACCGGGGGACATGGTGGCTCTCAGAGCTCTCCCTTTGCTTGCCCACGGGCTCCAGGACCTTCGGTGCAGGGCTGCAGGCACCAAGGAGTCATTTTGCACCTTGCATGGTGGTGCAAGAGGCACAAAACCACCATGAAGAGCGAGTTTGCCACCAGTATCATCCTCACTACCTAGGCAAGCACAGGCAGGAAGGAAAAACACTTCAGTGATGGCTATAGAAACCTCCCAAAGGAAGGCATAGGCATCTAGGAGCTCCGGGAGCCTCCCTTCTCCAGGAGCTTCCTCTCTGCTCCCACCTTATCTCATGGGGATGTTGGGATGGTGCCTGGTACCCTTGCCTCAGCATGCAGGAGTCAGCCCCGTTCCTCACTTTTTTTTTTCCAGGATTTTCTGGGCTCGGGCCAACCTTGGTGCTCTTATCTCTATGTTTTCCTGGTGGAGCAGAGCTCTCCAGGCAGCTGAATGGGATGCAGCTGCTCCAACAGCCTCCGCTTGACCTTTTTGTTTGAGGAACATGCTCATTGCTCCTGCCTGCGTTGCACATCCATACGGCACCAGCCAAAGAGCAAGGATTCGGCGGGGAGGTTTTCCATCCCCTCCCTCCTTATTTAGCCAAAAGTTGGGTTCACAAGGCTTGCTGGAGCCAACCCACGCATGGCACCCTATCTGCCCAACAGGATCTCCAGGCATGACGCAAAGGTCACCAACCCGAGATAAACACCACGCTGTAAGGATAGCAGGGCCCTCCTGGCTGCACCTTACTTCCTCCCCCCAGGACTGTCCTCCTCTCCCTCGCCAGCCCAGTTATTTTGGAGCGCCCCGGGAGAGCAGGGTTTGCCTTTCCCCTACTCGGCCTCCTGCCAGACAGCCCAGGCTCTGCCTAAAGACATGATCCTCTTTCTGCAAGTGATTAAACCTTTCGCTCTCCAGGCTGCTCCAAGCCTTCAACTTTCACATGCTTGGCTCAGTGCCAGCCCCAGCCTCAAAACGCGTGTTCCCTGGATGCAAATAAAAGGGTCTTTCTGAAAAGGCTGCTGGTGGAGCTGGCTGCTGCTCCCCGAGGACAGGCCAGCATCACGGTGCACAGCCACGAGCCTGCCCTTCTTTTGCCAGCCCTGAATRTGGCCACGAGCCACCCAGGGCTGGCCTGACACCTACCTCAGGCTTTAAGACTTGCCAGGAACTTGGCAAAGAGAAGCAAATTTGCTTTCTTTTGGGGATATCTACAGCACACCTCAGTCAAGTGTTGATAATGAGGAGCCAGGATGGCCCAGCTTGCTGGGGAAGTGCCTGGTTGCCCATAGGATAGCTCTGCATTGGACAAGGACCTGGTGGCATGAGAAGATCCCAAGAGCTTGCAAAGCAGAGCTTGGCACAGCAAGCAGCCATAGAGGAAGGGTGCAAGGGCTACACTGAGTACCCTACAAGCCAGCACAGCTTGGGCACTGGTCACACCAAATAGCAAAGACCCTACCCTTAGCCATGCAGGGAGCTTTCAGCTCAGCCCAGATCTGATATGGGAGCAGCAGAGAACCTGCTGAGGACAAATCACAAGCAAAGCAGTGGGGAGAAGCAGTTTTGAGACACTTCTACACAGTGACCACAGTGAGCACCAGCAGGATTTGGAAGCACTATGTTCCCCTTATCTGCACYGTGTCCCACCAACCCAGCTTTCAGACACCTGAATGACAACTCAGGGCAACACATACAAATAAATGGGCGTGTGTTTCCTTGTAGCTATCCCCGAGTTAAGCCCTAGGCAGGATTTCCCCACACATCCTCATCCTCCTCTGTTTGTTTGGCTTGAACTGGACATCCCCAGACAGCTGCACAGACGCTTCCCTGGCCACCGGAGCCAGCCCGTGATTTAGCTGACATAACATGACAGCAGCTGCTCCGGGCCAGTGAACCCTGCAGGAATGAACCCTGCAGGAATGCAAGTTCCTGTCTGGGAGAGAGGCTGCAGGAGGTAGCACAGCTGGGGACAACCACGGAGCCGCTAGCTCCRGGCTGCTCCGCTCCTGCCTCGCGCTGTTGGCAAGTGGGATGGAGAAGCTCCTGCAAAGAGGATGCTGYAGTCGGAGCCAGGAGCTGTAGATGCAATCATCCACTTTCCTGCTTCTAGGACAACTCTCCATGCCTGCACTCTGCAGGCATCTGCTGGAGCTAAGCATCCTTCTCCAAGGAAAGCRAGAGCGGGGATACTTGTCTCCACCGGCACGGAATCCAGACATGCACCAAGGGAGATGGATGCCAGAGGATTCAGCTCTCTACACCCCCTTCCCATCCTCTAGGATACAGACTGAGGGGCAGTTTGTGCTTGACAAAAGCAAGAGCAGTGAACAAGACCCATCTAGAGAAGAGCAATTTTCTCCTTTCTGTCATTCACCCCCTGCACACATGCCAAGCCCAGGTCTCTTTGACAAATACCTTTGAGCAGAACTTCTTGCTTGCATACTTAGTGTCAGGCAGAAAAAAATAAATCCCTCTTAAATCCTCAAGCTCCCACTGGGCTAATACTGATCCAAAAGGCTTGATCCTGCCCATGCTCYAGCTCTCTCCATTTCTGGCCAGGCTCCCAAGCCCTAGTCCTGCAAGCAAATCTCGCCTCCTGAATCAGGACAACTAAACCTTTTGTTTTGGAGCTGTTGGAATTGCTGCTGGTTTGACACAGCAAGGAGAAGTGGCACATGCAGACACTCACTGTGCGGCAGCGCGGACTCCACGCTGGCATTCTGGCTTTGGTTGCTGTGGCTGAGGCTTTTCTTCAAGTTGATCTTCCACTTTGGAGACTGCGTTTTGTTGTCCTTCACATGCAGAGGGATCAGCAGATTGACCTGCAGTAAGAAAGACAACAAGTCAGAACAGGTTTAGCTCAGCCGCTGAACTGAAAAGCCAAAGTGTCAGCCGCTCCCCCTGGAGCAAGGTGATGCTGTAGGGATCAGGGCAGAGCTAAGGCTCAGATTGCCAAAAAAGCTCATGAAACTGGGTGTCTGAAGCCAGAAAAATCGAGGAACCACCAGGATTTTTCACACTCATGAAAATGTTTACATGATAACATTAGAGTTTATTCTGCAGATGAATCTTAAGGCAACAGCCTTGAGAGACTCAGATCCCACCCACTGTAATTCCTCATTTTTTCACTGCCCAAAGCCTCAAGCAGCTCCCAGCTTTGGCCTTTTGCTGCTTTTGCATCAACACTACAGCAAGGGCACCGCACCAGACCCTGAGGGCAAGCCTCTTGCAGAGCCCCTGGAGGCAACAGCAGCACGGCTTCTTCTGCCAGAGCCAGAGTGCCAGCTGGGCTGCCAGAAACCGGATCCCTGAAGCCCTGCACAGTGTGCAGGACACAGAGTGCTGTCCCCTAAGCCCCTGGCCACCACACGGCAGAGCCAAGCACCATCTCACCTTGCTCTGCAAGCTTTTGATCTGCAGATTCTGCTTGTCCAGCTTGTACTGCTGCTGCTTGATCTTCTGCAAGAGCTCCTCGATGCGCGAGTTCTGCACATCCATCAGGGACTGCGGGGAGGGAGGAGAGAGAGGGGAACCCTGCAGGCGCAGCTCACTGTGCCACACGCAGCCCTGCACAGCCCAGGGATGCTCCTGGACCCCAGCAGATGTTCTAGGTATTCTGGGGATACTCCAGGTATCTTGGGGATGCTCTGGACATGCTAGGGGATCCCGGCTGCTGCCAGCAGCTCCCGGTGCCCACAGGCAGGTCCAGCCCCCGCAGCCAAGCTGCTCCCTGACGCCCGCGGGCTGCTCAGGTCCCCAGGGAAGGTCGGCTCGGTCTCCTCGACCTCCCCCCCGCGCCCCACCCCCGACCGGCGGTCGCTGGCTCACCTGCAGCGCTCCCAAGTCCTTGTCGCTCTGGTTGCCGCCGGGTCGCACCTGCAGGACCTGCCGCACGCGCTCCTCCAGCAGCTCCAGGCGGCCGCGGATGGTCGCCTTGTCAGCGGCCACCTCGTCCAGGCGCTGCCGCAGCGCATCGGCGAGCTCGGCGAGCTGCCGCCCGCGCCCCTCCAGCTCCCGCACGCTGGCGCGGAGCAGCTCGCCGCGCTCCTGCGCCTCCCGCGCCTGCCGCACCAGCCGTCCCAGCGAGGCGTTGTGGGCGCCCAAGCGGCCGCCCAGCTCCCGCAGCTGCCCCTTGGTGCGGTCCACGTGCTCCTTGAGGCCGTGGCCGAGCTGCAGGAGCCCGTGGGCGAGAACGTTCACCTCATCCCACGAGGCGAACTGCGCCCGCCGCTCCTTGCCCCGCGCCGCCGCGCTCCCCGCCAGCGGTGCGGCCGTGCCCGCCGCGGCGGCAGCGCACAGCACCAGCGCGGCCCCGACCAGCTGCATGGCGGCCCGCGAGCTCAGCGCGGGGCCTGCGGCCGCGCATCCTCGCTTTATAGCCGCACGGCGGGGCGGGCTCCCAGCCGGCCCGGCCCCCCCGCCCCGAAGCGCCCGGCCCCGCCGCTTTGTTCGGCCCCGTCGCTCCCCGTGCCGCGGAGCGAGCTGGCGGCTGCTCCATCAGCACGGAGGCTGCGGGGCCCCTCGGTGCAGGATGGGCACTGGGGTGGGTGTCTCCTCTCTCCGGGACACGGGGATCTGCCCGGTGCCGCCGGGCCTGGGGTGGGTGCCCGCACAGGGCCCGCAGCTCTGCCCCAGTGTCTGGCAGAGTCTGGAGCTTGGAGCTCCTCTKTGCGCCCTGCAGGGAGAAGGGAGAGGGGACCAGCTACCAGCTGGTCCCCTGCATGCTGGTAGGTTGGAAAGGAAGGAGTAGTATGGCTGGTACAAGGGCTAGTGTGGCTGTTGCATGGGTAGCATGGCCCGTACATGGGCTAGCATGGCCAATGCGTGGGTAGCATGGCTGGTAAGCTAGCTAGCCTCGCCAGCGGATTGTCATTCCCACCTCTGCTCTGCTGCAAGCCCAGGGTTGGGGGCAATTGCTCCTCTAAGGGCTGCCCTCCTTCCTCAGTGCAAAATCCTTTCCCATCAAAGGGTTAAACCACCATCCCTATGCAAAAACCTGAACCGTCTTGCTCTGCAAATGGCTGCCTCCATACCAGCGCTTCCTTCCCGTCTTGCCATTTATTAATTAATTTATTTATTTTATTTTTACTCCAACTTATAGAGATTTGCCATTTCTGCTTCCCCTTGCCATGAAGGAATTCACACGCTGGCGGCTCTGCTCAGATAAGAGCAGATGGAGCTTCCCACTGCCTCCCTGCCCAGCGCCTTCTCCYGCCACCCTGGTGCTCGCGCCGCTCTTTCCAGCAGCCCCTTCTTCACAAAGTGCGTCCTGCGGCGGGAGCTCCCGCCGGCCCCGTCCTCGGGGGGCTACATCCTTGCTTTCCACTCCATGCTTTTCCCAGCTGGCACATCTGGCTGCTGGGGAGCTCACAGCGGGGCTTTGCCCGGGATGCTTTTGGAATGCACCGCTTTGCTGCAGCTTCACACCGCTGGTTTGTACCGGCCGCTCTGGTGGCACCCAGCCTGACGCACGTTTACACACACAACACAATTATACACCATGTCCACCAGCCACACTGGTTTTCCTGCACTGTAGCAGGATGTTAATACAGGATTTCCCTTCTTTTTTTGTTCCTTTGGGGGGATAAAACCCCCACTGGAGCAAGTGGAGCATCTCTTGGTGCAGTTGTGGTTATGCATGATGGTCTATGAGGTTCCTGTAAGAACAAATCCTAGCAGTTTCTCACTCTGTTGGCCCTGGGCCCAGCCCTGGCCGTGCTCACAAGCTGCTTCTTGCGGAAAGAGCTTGAGAGAAATTAGGGAGGGAGGAGGTGGAGAAGGAAGAATTTGGGGAATACCCTGCCCTTGCAACCAGCACTGAGTCCTCAGAGCCCCCTTTTCCTCCTGTCTCCTGGCTGTGGCCTTTCTTTCTCTTTTATTCCACAGCCAAAACTGTACTTTTTTTTCCCCCAAATGAGGAAAATTCAAAAGGATGGAAAAGCCCTGGGYACATCCAGCTTTCTGAGCGCTGCTGCTGGGGGTCATCCCTAGGCAGCATTTCTGGGGCAGCCAACAGCACCAGGCCCCGCTGCAAATCCCCAGGGAGGGTTTTCCCTGCAGAAATTGCAAAAACTCTTCTATCTTTTCCTCTCCTTGCTGCAATGATTTGGCATCCTGGAAAAAGAGCAGCTGGCAGGAGCCATGCCAGGAGAGCAGGAGGTTGGAGTGTCCGCACACTGGGTTCACGACAACATCTCAAGAGCCATCCAAACAGCCAAGTGTTCGAGTCACTGGGACAAACAGGGAAAGATGATTTCCTATGTTGACTATTCCTCCAGGATAGCAACATCAGGAGCAATGAATCCCGCGGGTATCCCAGCCTCCTGACCTGGAGTTACCCAACATCAGTCTGCCCCACTAAGCGGCCTGGAAAACAACAGGGTTATGCCGGGTACCGCTGCCAACATGTTCCCACTGGTTATTTTCTGCCTGGGTCCTGCTGAGCTCATGTAAGATGCAGGGCCTGTTCGGAAGCCACATGATTTATGCATTTTCCTGCGGATGGATTTGCCTATGGAGACATGTCCAATTTGCTTGGAGTCATATGAATTTTTAACAGACAAAACTGCAAACCTCCCCAAGGCCCTGAGCTACCCCGAGCGGGGAATGACCGTGGATTAATGGAAAGGTGTTGTTGGCACTCAACTTAAATAGAGCTGAAAATGGACTGTCCAAAGCGGTTTCATCTTGTGGTGCATTTCTGCGTGTTGCCTGGGAGTGGAGGTGTGTCCTGAACAGTGGCTTCAGTGCAGATCCATGTGCATCCCTGCCTGCCAGGTTGGGTTGGGAGCTGGGCAAGGTGAGACCTGCTCCTTGCACCACTCTGCTAGAGGGTCCAGGAGGGCAGAGCCAGTGTATGGTGTGGGGATCCGTCCCCTGTCCCCTGTCCTTGATGAGACAAGGACCTGCAGGAGAGCGTGACAGCGGGAAAGTGCCCACACATGGCCAAGGTGCAGCTGTCAGCACTACTGTCCCCAAAAGAGACCCACAAGAATGCTGACACYGGAGGGGTCCCCACAAGGACCCTATCCCAGTAGAGTCCCCATCAAGGATGCTGACCCCAGAAGGGATCCACAAGGATCCTGTCCCAGGAGGGTCCCCACAAGGATGCAGACTCCAGATTGTACCCCACAAGGACCTGCTTGTCCCATCAGGGTCCCACAAGGATTCTGACCCCGGCAGGGTCCCCACAAAGACCCTGTCCCAGCCCAGCGGATCCAGGAGCCTTTGGGACCCCAAACACCCCAGGGAGCAGCAAGATGCCCTTGCCTKCAGCACCACCCTGCTCAGGTCTCTACACGCTCCCGTGGGATATGCCCAGCTGGGGTCAACCCTGAGGCCCCAGCAGAACCTTGGGAACAGATGAGGAGACTCCAGAGCAGGTTATTTGCGGGGAGGAGGTCTCCATGCAGACCCTTCACTCCATAGCCACCCCCTGCATGGGACCTGAGGGCAGAATGGGGGATTTTCTTCGCTCTGAGGCCCTTCACCCCCCAGACTTCTCCCGCACGACTCCCCCAGGCCCCCTTCTCATGGCAAATAAACATTTTGCAGTGCCTGATGAGCCACCGTGAGCTGCGATGAGCATCTTTGTTCTCAGCCTTTCTCCGCTGCCCTCCTTCCCACGCGGAGCCAGCAGGGCAGTGGGCGAAAGTTCAGCGCCGGCCGAAGCCGAGGAAATTCCTGCAGCTGCCGCGCGCCGTGCCTGTGTGAGCCGGAGGGACGCGCGAGACGCCGCTCGGCGGGAAGGCGCAGCCCGCCGGCCCTCGCTTTGTTGCTAGCAACAGCAAAGCCAAGGGCGACTCCAGCAAAGGGGAATAGGGCAGGAGTGAATCAGCGCGATGCGGAGAGAAATTTAGGTCATCCTGAGAAGCGGTTGTGCCTGGTGCAGCGGAGGCTGGGGCACGTCCAACGGGAATCTCCCGGCGGCTCCCGGCTGGGCGCAGCAGGCACGTCTCACCCGGACGCGCGCTGGCAGGAGTCCCGGCCAGAGCCCAGCACCTCCATCCGGGCTTGGTCTCAAGTCAAAGCCAGCCGTGGCAGTGATTTGTGTGTCACACGTCTGTGGAGCACAGCGCTGCTGGCTATGTGGTTCTGGCACATGGAAGAGATGGATACGGGCGTCCCTTACTCCTCCCGAGCGTGAACTTCCAAACACAACTCCGTCATGGGGTGGTTGTCCTGTTCCGGAGAAGGGCTGTACGACACAGTGAGGGAGCAGCCCCAGTGCTGGATGGCCCTGTGCCGTGTCCAGCTGAACAGGATGCACCCCAGGGATGCTTGGATTTCTTGGGCCAGAAACCTCCTCCCCAAAGCTGCAGCTCATAGCTTAGGGCCACTCACCTCGGCCAGTTCAGAAGGGCTTCTCCTCCTGAAGGTGCTTCCTCTTGATGGAGATTTACTTCCAAGCAGAATGAGTCATGAATGACCRATGGAAAATTCCTTGGGTTTCCAGCAAGGCCCAAATGCATCATGAGTGTGATGACGCCCCCCCGGGCTCCATTTCTATGTTCCTTCTTCCAGCCTTCCCTGCCAGCAGCCAAAKGAACCTCACGTAGATGCCTGGCCAAATAAGACCCATATCTGATGGGTGACAACTGCCGGAAGGCGGAACTCCAGCCCATAATATCACACTCAGGCTCCAGGGGACAGGGTGGAGGTATCAGCTTTGGCTGCATTCACCCGTTCACCCATTTCTAATACAGAGTCCTCCTGAGTGCGGGAGGTTCTCGTGGACTATTAGTCAGGAGCAAGGAGGCCAGTTTTCATAGTCACCTTAAGAATAAAGGGCCATTGACACTCCGCTCTCATTCCACCGKACTCCTTGTTTTCCTGGCAGGCTCAATGGAAGTTATGCAAATCTTTGCTGCCCTTTATTCCTCCTGCCATCCCCAGGACCCCTCAGGGAGCTCTAAGGTTACTGTGTAGAAGGTCACACTCACCAGAAGACAGGAAATCAGAGGTCTTGGTTAACGTGGGAGGCTTGGCAGCCGGAGAAATCACACTCTTGTTTTTATAGTCATCTTTCAGTTTAAACAACATGCGTTTCGAATTACTGGCTCTTGGCGGCCGCACTCGCAGCTCGCTCATGCAGAGAGCTCCAGGTCTCCCGAGAGGGACGTTTCACATCAGAGCATCTTGCCCTTGGTTTACACTCCAGGATGCACGTTAAGGACGAAGCTCCGTGCTGTGCGAGTCCTTTTATTTTGCTGGTCTTTGGAAGGGAACAGCAGTACCCAGTGCGGCGGGTCCACGTGAGCATGATCATCCTGCTCAGGACCCTGGTGTCTTTTCCATCAGGTCATCTGATGACGTGAAGGACTCATCAAGATAACTGTGGAACAAGAAAAACCTTTTCTGGAGGCTCTACCTGTTTCCAGGAAGCTGGAAAGAAGCTTGTTTTAGCCTGYCTGGAAAAAGAGGCTCGGGAGAAGCCCAGTGAAACCCTCATTTCCATAGGCCTCCTTGGGAAAAGGAGCTTTTTAATTAAAGACAAACATCTTATTTCTCAAAGCAACGATGGTGGCTTCCTATCTACATTTGCCCAGGAACAGGACAGAGGCTTTGGTAGAGTCTTCAGTGGGTGTCACGGTGCATGAGATTCCCCTAGATGTTTCCSAAAGCCCTTTCATTTCCTCTACCTTTGCACGCAGTCTGTGATGCCGACGATCCCTTCCTGTCCCTCGAACCCTCCTCTGGGCCGAGGGACAGGGCGGCTCTGGCCCCGCTTGCCGGTTATCAGCGGGCACCACTAATGTCCATGACCCCGTYGTCCTGCTGCCAGAAACCCTCCTGAGCTGCTTCTGCTGACACGCCACAAAGCTCTTTTATTGATTTTTTTGGTGTGCTGTAACCCTCGGGGTCACTTCTGCTGCCCAGAAAGGTTTCCATTCACCCCAGGACATCAGAGATGGCCAAGTAMACTCTTCCAGGTGCCACATGCATCACACGTTGTGCTCGTGAAGTTGTCCCCTCCTTCAGAATGCAGGTCCCCAGCTCTTCAGAGCTCCATCCCGAGCAGCTGAGAACAAGCTTTCTTCCTGTGGACAATTTCCAAGTGGGTATATAAAGGAGTTTAAGCTTTATCTGAAYTTTTCCTGCATTTTCGCACTTTGATCCCCACCCCATGGGACATGTGGGTGTTAAATGCTGAAAAAAAATTTTTTCTTCTTTTTTTTTTTCCTCCAGTGAAAGCTTAAAAAAAAAAGAACGAAGAAGCTCCAAAGCAGATGATTTTCCAGCAGATAGTTTCCCAGCAGCCTTGCTGGTGAAACAGCACTGAAGTCCATAGCCCAGGAAGCTCTGGCAGGGCTGCACACCAGCAGAGACAGGGAGGTAGGAGGTAGGGATTGATCCAATCGACAGCCCTGAGCTCTTTTCCCTCCTCAACAGTGATCTCAGTGGTTTCTCCATTTCCTTAGGTGTAAACTGAGCATTTCCCTGCCTGCCAGGTGGATCGGGGCTCTCATCCAGCCCGTATCTCTCTCACGGGGCTTAGTTTCATGAACAGGAGGCACCAGGCATGGGGACACGGGGCTTGGGGGACATCCTGGAGTCCAGGCCCCATCATTCAGAGTGTTTTGGGGAGCTGGGGACACTTGGCACATCCGGATGTCTGGAGTCCTTCTGCCTGGACCAGYGCACAGACCATATGTCTTGGAAGGCCCTTCATGTCCTTGAGCTCGTCCTTGGGGCTCACCAGGGCCCTCCCATAGAAGCAATGGGGTAAACCGGTGTCACAGCAACCTTCATCCCTCCATGCCTTCACATGGAACCATCCTATAAATATCTCCCACCAGAAGAACATTTCCAGGTTGGAAATTTCAGCTTTCCCTTATGTTCTCTTGCAGCGCCAAGGCGAAGGAGCATATGGCAACAAGGCAGCTCTGCTCGGGCATGGCTGGCGTAGAGCAACCTCRGGTTGCTTTTCTTCTCGTAGAAAACAAATGTGGTGGGATTATAATTTTTTCTTCCCCCGGTAGAGATGGGCTTTTCAATCTGTGGGACTTTGCTCTGCAGCGGTAACAAATCCGCAGCAGGGCAAAGTCTGGGGCTGAGCTTTTAGATAAGATGCTGTCTTTGAACCAGCTCACCTGTCAGGCCGTGAGCATGTGCCCCGTGTTGCTGCATGGATTTGGCACCTAGTGATACTCCTGGTCACAGGAAGGATAAACAAGTATCCGTGGAAAAAAAAAAAAAGCCAGATCCCAAGAAACGTTCCAGGAGGATCCGGCGGCAGGGAAATTGCTTCCTCGTTGCACAAATCAACCAGAGAAAAGTGAAACTAGGAAGCCCTCAAAAAAAAAAAAGAAAAAAAGAAAAAAAAAGGACATTTCTCATCAAAGTGACTCAGGATGTCAAAATAGCTGCAGCAAGCAGTGACATGCTGAGATCATGGGACACGCCAGATTCGGCAGTTCAAACTGAAACCTGACATTTGCTTTCTGAAATGGAGCTTTAAAATCACAGTGCTAAACTTCGAATGGGGAAGCATCTCAGAAGCCACCCAAATCAATGCCCTTGGCCGGGTCATATTTCTCTTTGGAGGAAAATGTGCTTTCCAAAGGAGGAAAAGGTCTGGCCAACCTCTGTGTGTCYGTCACTCAGTCTCCAGTAAGAGGGACAGGATTTCTGATGGCAAATAAAAAGAAAAAAAAACAAGAATAGCAGAAATTTTGCTGCAGTAAACTACTGCCACGCTCCGGGCCGGGTTTCCTGCAGGATGGATCATTGCAAGGGTCACACACTTGGGTTTTATTCCTGCGTGGCTCCCCAGGCCGCTTGGAGCACTACCAGACTCCAGGGTTTCTGGAGAAGAGCTGCATTTCAGGTGAAATACCCAAAGAAGGGGCTATTGCAATATCAAGAAAGCTGCATTTACGGTATTTACAGGAAAAAAACCCATGATGTTTCCTTGGCGGAGGAGCATGTGCTGTCATGGGCGGCAGCAGCGTCCAAGTGAGCACACAGGGAGCTGCCCAGGAGCCGGCCCGGAGCCAGGAGCAGCCGTCAGGAATGCAGCCTTGCAAGACGGACCTATTCCCGTAAGCCAGCGATGACTCAAGCCTAGGAAACATGGAGCTCACTCGTGTCGACTGGGATCATGGGCTGGAAATTGCAGGGAGGCAGCAGAGCCACCGACATCAGGCTCTGCTCACCCAGGGTTTGGTTTTTCCCACCTCTTTAGAGCAAACCTTGGAGCAAAGCTGCAGGGAGGGTTGTTGCACTGCCCGGGACCCCATCCTTTATTTTGGGTTTTGGGGGAACCCGAAGCATCTGCAGGGGCAGCACAGAGCAGTGCGAGACCACAGAGCACGTTTGGGGCTTGCAGATCTCTAGGTCAAAAGCATCTTCCAGCTTTCTGACCTGCTAAGAAAATTAACATTACACATTCCCGTGGTGCCACGAATCATTATGTTAAGTGTCAGGTGATCCTGGTGGCCCCGCTTTGACTTTCAAGGTGACCCTGGATGTCACGGAGGTGCTCAGAGCTGCTCTCCACACTCATGGAGACGTGGAGACATGGATGTCTCCATCAGGCAAGGGCTGCAGAGCCCAGGCTTGGTGCTTGTTGAACCAAAGGAGAACTGCAGGTTGGAGGGACCCTGTCCCCCCTTTCCTGCCCTGGGGCAGTTTCTTAGCTAAGTTTCCTCTCTCTCCAATCCCTGCGATGTCCTCAGCTGGTGTGAGGGATGGACCCTCATCCTTAACGTGTCTCACCAACCCTGCAGCTCTGCTGTCCTTGGACTTTAGTAGGTGGTACAAAAATAGCCGTCAAAAAGGGAAGAAGTGACCTTTGTCGTTTGAATAAATACTTGCCCGCTCAGCGTAAGCGTGGCGTGTTTGGGGGGATTTTGTGGACGGTTCCAGGGGCTTGGAGCCAGACCTGGGTGATTGTCACTCTCTCCCAGCAGCCCCCATGGAATGTCCCGGGAAAGTTGCCTCCTAATCCCTGCTCCGCTGTTGGGTGCCAGCAGAGCCTCCCAGCTTCCATGCATGTTSCCATGTCTGGAGCACCTCATCCCCGAGCGGCCCGTGGGCTCCCRGTCCTGGCATGGTCCCGGATGCAGATGGGAAGCAGGGATTCYGCAGGGCTGCCATGGGAAGGAGTGTGGCTGCAAGGTGTGTGGGTTTTTAAGGCAAATCCTTTCACCACRAGAGGAGTTTTGAAGGCAGGAAAACAAAAGCTGGACAAGTGTATCCAGGTTGGGAGCTGTGGGGCCAGTTTAGTGTCCAGGGGCTTAAATTTAGCATCAAATAAGATGCTAAATCTCTTCTCCATGAGGGGGGAAAAGCATTCCTGAGGGAACCAAGACCCTCCTTTGGACATAAGAGCCCTAACTTGGCCATGAAGGAGGGACACAGGAGTTGTGATAGAGCATCCCCACCTGTGGGGCTGATTCCACGCATTCCCATGGGAGATCCTGTGCAAGCCCCCTGGACCACAGGGGTGGGAAAAGCAGAAGCACACAGAGCCAAGCCAACAGAATTCCCTAAAGCCTGCATGAATCTTTCTAGGCACTGATAATTTCAAGCCCTTGCCAGGGCCATAGACCGCGCTGACTGAAGGCTGCCAGCAGAAATCCTTGGATTTCTGCTCCAGAAATCGGAGCAGCAGCCGGAGCGCCGGCCGGTATGAGGGGCTCAGCCCTGCACCTGCCCCTGCGACCTCTCCGCAGGCCGGGCAGGATGAAATTAGAAGCAATTAAAGATTAATCTTGGCCCGGGCTCAGATCAAACTTTCTACCAATTTTAGCTGCGTGTTGCTCGGGTGACGACACGCACCCGAGTTCAGGCGCTCTCGGTGATGCAACGGCAAGCGGGGATTTCTGCTGGCGCAGGGCTCTCGGGGCCAGGAATAGACCCTGCACCTGGAGCYGCTCCAGGTGAACCCAGGTTAGATCTAAAGTGTAAGTTTACCCAAGGAAGCAACAGGCAGGTCCTGCAATACTTGACTCTCTGCCTAAAACATGAGCAGCTTCACCCTCTACTTTTCCATTTATTCTTGCTGGGGTCCAAAATGAAGCTCATTATGAGAAGTGGAAATGTTTCCCTTGGAGAGTACTGCTGTTAGACTTTTATTTCCTCCTGGATTTCCCCAAAGGCAGCACTGATCCTTGACTTTTTGAGCTCCTTTTTGAGCCAAAGTCTCCTATTTTGGGAGCCCTTGAGCCTGGAAAGCCATATCAAGTTAACCTGCTGCTGTGAGTGCCACAGTAAGTTGAATTTTCCTATTCCAGATGGAACGGGAGCTTTAGGGACACAGGACGGGCTCTGCTGGCAAAAGGAGGCAGCTTAAATCTCACAGCTGGAGCGTCCRGGAGTCATCGGGAAGGTGAAGATGGGAGGGACCGGGATCCCTGTCCAAAGCCGGGAGCTGCTGCAGGGCCTGGGATGCTGAGCAAGGAAGAGGGAGGTCAGGGCCTCCGTGGAGGCTGCGCTGGGTGGCACCGGGCGAGCCCTGGCGGCCTCTTCGCCCCGCGACAGACGCTGACTCATGGGTGGCTGGGCGAGGGGCAGGAGGCGGCGCAGAGCAAACAGCCACGGCAGCGCGGCCGTCGGGAGCGAGGCCGGGAGCCGGGAGCGAGGCCAGAGCCGGGAGCGAGGCCGGGAGCTGGGAGGGAAGGATCCTTTGCCAGGACGTGGATGCAGGGAGGCTACAGGGCACCTGGTGCCGCAGGGCTCATGTCACCACCGTCATCTGAGCTTCTTCCCCCTTGCTCTTTCCCAGCTTTTTCTCAAGACAGAATCACAGAATCCCAGGATGGTTGAGGTTGGAAGGGACCTCTAGGGATCATCCAGTCCAACCCCTGCTCCAGCAGGRACACCCAGAGCAGGGGGCACCCGGGCGCATCCAGGTGGGTTTGGGAGACCTCCAGAGCAGGAGSCTCCGCAGCCTCCCTGGGCAGCCTGGGCCAGGGCTCGGGCACCCTCACACTGCAGAAGTTCCTCCTCACGTGGAGATGGGGCTGCCTGGGGTTCAGCTTACACCCATTGCCCCTTGTCCTGGCACTGGCCKCCACTGGGAAGAGCTTGGCCCCTTCCTCCCTACATTCCCCYTTAAGGTCCTTATACAAACTAAACAGATCCCTTCTCAACCTTCTCTTCTCCAGAGAAAACARGACGGGATTGGGATACAGGCACCTGCTGCAGTGCGGTTCCCCGGCCRGGCCATCTGTCAAGCCAGAAGTGAAGTACCCCAAAAGACATTAACCCTCCAGCACCCACTGCTAGCAGAAAATAGACCTGGAAAGCAGGACATTTCAGGTTCTGCAGCATCCTCAGAAGATTTTGCCATCATCAGGRATCACGGGGAAGGGGCTGAGAGAAGGCAAGATGCCACGGTGATGGGCGATCGTCTGAAAAACAGTGATAGCTGGAGGTTTGGGACAGAAATTAGAATCTGTTTTTTTCTGCCTCTCAGGGACTGCAGGGGAGATTTTTTCCGCTTGCCCTGTCTGAACACGGGGCTGAGCCGAGCGGTGTCCTTGATGCCAGCGTCTGCAGGGATGAGGTCACCACGGCGCCCACACGTGCCCCGGGCCCCCGGCCCAGACACGGGCCCTGCGCTCCAGACAGCTCCTGGGGACAAATGCCACCCTCCATTTGTGTCACTGCCACAACCACCCCCTCCGCCAACGACCACACGCATGGAGAAGCTGATGGAGACGCGGGATCAACCACGCTAGGACATCTCCTGGAGTGGGAACATCCCTGGTGCCGGATAGGCTGGAATGACTGAGAAGGCTCCGTTCGTGCTGGAGGAGCTGGATGTGTCCTACAAGGCCACCTTGTCCCCACGGTGCTGGTCTCCCCCTGCTCCCCAGTGCGAAGGAGACAAGGATCCATGCTTGGATGTCTGCCAGGGAATTTCCTCCGTTTAGGAAGGAAATGGGGATGTTCAATATTTGGCTGTCAAGTACTCCCTAATCCAGCAGCCGACACCTGCATGTGGAGCAGAAGAAGGTGCTGGGTGCAGACGGAAAGGGCGGCATCCCTCCAAATCACTCTCC